TATTTCGCGACGATCTCGCGACTATAAAAATGGTCAATTTGCGCAATTATTACTCATCGTTGTCTCGTCTAATCATTTCGAACTGTGTAATTATGGATTGTTTCTCTAAAATAGAAGGAGGAGAAGGTAGAGAGACAAAAAAAAAAGAGAAATGATCAAGAATTAACGTATCCGGTTGATGAGAATAGGTAATCTTACCAGTATCTGCTTGACATTTTGCCGCCGACGGCCAATCGCATAGTTGTCGATTCGCGTCCCAGTGTAATCCTGGCGCACATTGTTCACGCTTCAACTCGCCGCGAACACATCTGTAATAATTACCACAGTTCATGGGATCGCTGTAATACTCGCCGCTAGTACAATTCGCTTCCGACGTGCCGGCAACCGGTTTCTTTGTTGTAGAAAGTGACGACTGCGTAGTCGGTGCGCTATTAAAAAAAAAATTTTAAGAATGAATCAATAAGGAGCTTTAATGTAGTTGTAACCAAGATGAGTGTAAATAAAAATATATCTTGATGCAGTAACGTCTAAACGCTAAATATTTTTGGATGATCATTACATCCAATACATTGGATGATAAACTGTTTTAACATAAAAAAAAAGAAGGAAAAGATTGAAATATACAGAGACGAATAATTGTGATTTGCTTTCTTTTACCACGATACAGTTGTTATAGGTGTGGTGCTGCTAGAGAGAGGAGCTGTACTCGGTTTTTTAGTCTCGCTAGGCTTTGTAACGTCCTCCGACGGAATTTTACTGGGTTCCTGGCTGGTCCAAGTCCATGTGGGCCAAGTGGTCTTAGTCATCTGCTGCGTTGTGGTGCTCGGTCTTTCTGTCCACGTGGGCCACGTGGTAGTTTCAGTACTAGACGCTGTCATTGACGTAGTAGGGCGCGGATTGCCGTCCGCGGCGTCACTGTGAGTAGTTAAGGTCGGTGCTTGCGGTGTCACCGGCTGCGGTGGACGTTGGCAATCCTCCGAGATGGATGCCAACGAGCGACCTGTTAATCAGTATAATTATATAAAAAAAAATATTAGAAAAGTAACAATATGTGTAATAATAAACATATTAGCATATAATAATACAGAATATAATGATAACTTGTAATAAAATGTATTGTAGAACTATATAATACAATACTAACAAAGATATTAATATAACACGCACCTAGCGCACGATTTATGGTTTTCAATAAAGGAAACGACTCAGAGCAACAGAGATTCTGAAAATCATCTAAGTCAATGGTCCACATTGTAGCTCCACCATAGCCATTTCCCGTGATATATTTGCCCTTAGCATAAACACTCTCCCGATCTTCGTAACCTACCCACTCATTTTCGAAGTGAGCACTCGGTCCTGAAATTATGTAGATTTTGTGCAAAATATACAATTAAATATATCTACTTATTTTGTTCAAATTCATTTAATGTACGTATATATTTAAGAGTCGTCGATCGTCCTACCAATTCCTACTTTCCAATTGTGTCGCTTGATCCTTTCGCAAATCTCATAATACGCCAACATTCCAGGTTGCTTGGTGAACTCTCCTGGTTTACCCGGACCGGTCGTGGGATCACCCAGATCGGCTTGGCTCGCCGTTGAGAGCCGATAAGACTGCCCATATAGGGGGATACCGACTAGGAGCTTAGATTTCTCAGCACCGAGACCAACGAGATAGTTCATGGTAAAGTTCTGTAATATTTTCGAATGCTATATTCAGCGATTTGCAACACGCATTTTCATGCAATTCGAACTTACAACGTTGTAATAGGGTTTGCTGTCGCTTGGTGACCCAAACAAGGGCGCTATGTGTGCCAACTTGGATTCCCACGATCCATGGTAATCGTACGTCATGACTGACATAAAGTCGACGACCTGCGAGATTTCACGCACCTCGTACGCTTTGTCAATGACCTCTTTGTATCCTGACAGGGCAGCAGCCAACAATAAAGGCGGGTCTTGCTTGTTAAACTCCTCTCTGAGCTCTTGCATCAATTTAGTAAAATTCGGCTTGTCAGAATCGGGACCTTTCTTGCAGTCGCTCTGCCAGCACTTGGGATAGCTCCACTCGAACGACAGACCGTCGAAATTGTGCTTCTTCAGAAAGTTTATCGTGGCAATGACGAATTTACGACGAGAAACGCCGTTGCTGATCAATCGAGAGTATTTATCACCAGAACTGTCGGTCCACCCGCCTAAGGCCAGTAATATTCTTGATCCTTTGATCGAGGTCACTCGCTGATATAGATCTGGAATGAATTATTCGAGGAATCATATCATTCGATTACATATTTTAAATGAAAGATTTAGAACAAGAATGATAAGTGATTCCATGGCTCGCAAGATTCGCTTAGATATGACGTTATATTTAAAGAAATGGATCCTTTCAAATTGCAGATTTATAATTCAGTTTTGTTCTGACTCTTTCAAATGTCTCGGCAATTGAGATCACATGTGAATTATCATGCTCACTATTTTCAATGTCGGCCCAAGGATCGAACGGCTGAATCAACAGCGTCTCAGGATTCAATCCAGCAAATGCGTAAACAATGTCGGTACAGAGACTCGAATCCAGATGTTCTGGCACGAATTTACCATCCCCTTTGCGATACAATGCCCAGGACGTCATATAACATGCTATTCGCGGACCGACTTGCTGCAACACCTTTTTTGGCGGTGTTGTCGATGATGTATCCTGACCGACGATTTTATCAAAAATATTGGTTTTACAGATCTCTGAAGACCGCCCTAGGATGGCTGCCACACAGCGTTTCTCTATCGGATCAAAGTATCGATTGTGCCCGCAATGACCATGATGTAGTTTTCCTGAAAAAAAAAAGCTCCGTAGTCACTGAATGTATAAATTTGACTTTTGCGATTTCTGATTAATTTAATTAAGCTGTAAACGTTACCTTTGATACAAGAATAAAATGCGGAACAATTTTTCGGATCCCTAGAAAGACCATCCTTCGGACACTTCTTTGTCGGAGTATCCTCGTATCCTAAAGATCGTACTGCAGCGTTTAGCATCGGCCAAGCATTTCCGCAGATACCCTATGAGATTTAAATTCACATGCACGCGTTAAATACGATAACATGCCGTGAGTGAATGGCGCCAAATTGCTGTTTGATGTAATGACAATGCTTAAATTAAAATCATTTTTTTATAAATCTGTTAATCTTGATGTACTTATATCCTTATATGGCGCTGAAA